TTGAAGGCCAGTCATTGTCCGATTGTCCTTTATAGAGGCACAAAACGGAGGGGATGAGGTTACACCATCTGCTGAAGCAACTGGTACTGGCCCCTGCCAGAGTCAAGGTGCTGGGCTGGGTGGAAGTTAGAAGTTATTATTAAACAGCCTCATGCTGCCAGCTTGTCCCTGCTCCCGTGACACCTTGCAGGGTAGGGGCTTTGTGACCACATGACCACTTCTGCTGCCAGTTAAGGCACCCCGCTCAGGCCGATGGCAGGGAGGCCTATGTTCCTGCAGCCATGTCTGCAGCCCCAGGATTAATTATACCCAGACCTGGCCTTTCTCCCTGTCCCAATAGCCCCAGAGATGCTCTCCCCCTCCCATGATCCCTGCAGGAGCCCAAAAGGGCAAAAGAAAAAGTCTGCTCCTAAGGGCATTTAACACTGACCAGGGCCAGAGTGCCCTGTCAGGATGCACACAGGGAGGGGCCGCTCCATGCCTACATTCTCCCCTCCGCCTGCGTGGAAGTGGGGAGTGTCCCTGCTGCACGCCCTGGAGCGGTCTCCAGCGGGCGGGGCTCCATACACATGACAGCATGTGCACAATGCATTGTCTCCTCTGGACAGCAGAGGGGAATCCTGGCAGAAGGCTGCCCTGGTTCTGGCTCCAGGACCTTCTGTCTGTGCCGTGGAACCTGCCTCCAGGGAGAGACGCTTTTCCAGCAGGACGCCCCCGGCTCCGAAGGATCCCGGGGGACCCACCGGATCTATGCTGTGACCCCTCTGCCTGACCCCCCCTTTGAGGAATGATCTAGTAGGAAGCTCCACAAGGCTGCCCCCCGCGTGGGTCCTCCTAGCTGGGCGACAGCCTGGTCCCTCAGGACGAGCCATTGTTCTACAGGCTAAATGGAGAGTTGGTCTCAGGCCAGGGCCTAGCAGACTGGTGCGCAGGCCACAAAAACCTACACAAAACAACTTGTCCCCTTCCCTACAGGGCCCCCACAGAGAGGCCAAGGCCTGTACTTGTCCGTGGGGTTGCAGGGAGTGGGGTGGAGTGCTCTGCTGTCACCCTGGCAGAGGTCAGAAAAGAACAAGATAAGTCCATGAAGGACATCGCTAGCTATTAGCTAAAATGGCAGGGAGGCAACCTCATGCTCTGGGTGTCCCTAAACCTCCAACTGCCAGAAGTTGGGACTGGGAGGACAGAGGATGGATCACTTGATAACTGCCTTGGTCTGTTCATTCCCTCGGAAGCATCTAGCACCGGCCACGGTTGGAAGACATGGTTGGGCTAAGTGAACCATTGGTCTGACCCAGTTTGACCCCTCTTATGTTCTCCTGTCTCTGAAGCACACTGGTGGGAGGCAGCACGGGGGGAGCTGGTACTGCCCAGCTGTGCTTCCGTCTCATGGGATGTCAACCCAGCCCTTCTCACCAGCACTAAATTCAGCCCAAGGAATGCAGGATGTGGCCAGCTAAGGGACAGCGTTAGGATTTACACCCAGGGCCAGGCCTCAGCTCTGCTCAGCGACTCCGAAATCAATAGGGTGTGTGGCTATACACCAGCTGAGGCTCTGCCCTGGCTTTCAAACAAAACACTGGGGAGATGCTAAACAATTTGCCATTGACCGACTGACCGAGAGAGGCTTCTCTGGGGGTAGGGCCAGAACCCAGGGGGATCCCGGGCTGGCCCTTTCGTTCTTGTGGCTGTTCTGGCAGAAGAGGGAGGAGGAGACACGTCACAACCAGGACGTTTGCGCTCCCCACTAAAACTTTACGTTAGCTCTCTAGCAGTCTGCCCTTCTTGTGCCAGTCCACTTCCGCTCTGCCCAGGGTTGAGAGGCCAGCAGGGCCTGCTCAGGTGAAGCAGGGACTCGGGTAGCTGAGCGCAATGTCAGACTCTCCGGCTTGTCGGACAGGCAGGCCGGCTAATTGATTCAGGGCAGAGACACCACTAATCTTCATTATTTCATCTCTCCCAGCCCAATCACTGTGGCTCTCTCCTTCGGCCAGTTATGGGTTCTCCTTCAGTACAGCATGACTGGCCTCTCCACTTCGCAGGGGACGTAGGAGTTCTCTCACGACAGAGCCGTCTGGCCACATCTGACATGAGCCTCTCTCCAGTGACTGCAGGGTCAACCTTTCCCAGCGCCCAGCAGTTCAGTCTGCTGGCTCAGACGTGAGGCAGCGTGAGAGTCTCCTCCCAGGTGTCTGGATCGAGTGGGTCTCCTGAAACCTTCAGCCACCCGTGGCTCTTCACTGCCAGCTCACCTGGCCATAACACTTCATCTCTCCTATAGCTCTGAGATGTGCCAGGCAGTCACAACTGCAATCAGTGAAGACTGGGAGAGTCTCCAGAGCTTTAATGGTTCTCACAACGTCTCCGCCGTTATTCAAGTCAGTCTAGTTTTACAGATCACTGACATTTGTGATCCTGGGAAACAGCTTGGTTTAAAACTAACATCCTCCAAAAACACCAGATCAGCATTCCCAGATCTCCCCTCTCACTGGGACCTGGGTGATGGGATTTTTTTAATGGTCATTATTTTTTTCAGGCACCAAATCTAGTCTGTTCATGCTGCTGTAGGTGAGGATGAGTCCAGGAGGAAAGTTGCTGCATAAGTACGAGGCTATTCTGACTTCCATTATTAAACTTTGGCTTTCAAGTGTTTAGAACTTGGCATATTTACACCCTATGCCCCAGAGGCTCAGGGTTACACAGAACAAATTGTCCATGCTGTCTAACTGCAGGCCAGATTCCAGCCCCTGCTATGGCCCCTTTATGCTGCGTTGGTAGTTTTCAGGGGGGCAAATCATCCCATAGGGGAACTGCCCCTCCTGTGTGTGGGGAGTGGGGGGAGAGGTTCTCAGCAAAGCAGCATGCCAGGGGTGGGACGGGTGGAAAGAGATGTGACCGGAACACACTGTGCTCTGGCTAGCCTGAGCTTTCACTGGAATTTCAAACACAAAACAAACAACATTACAGCTTCAAATCTCTCTTTTAGTGCTTGGAACAGGGAGCTGAATGGATTTCCCAGCTCACTGGATTTTCATCTTTGAATACCTGGGTTCAAATCTCGCAAGACACACATGAAGATTAACATGATGGCCTCAGCCACGTCCTGAGTTTAACCCCTACTCTGTGTTGGAAATTATTTTCCTAATACATTTATTAAGGTTTCCCAGCACTCCGTTTTCTTTATTTGTCCCAAAGGGCCACTTGGTGCTGGCTGCATCCCAAACACCAATATAATCATATACACTCTTGTACTTTATACACTAACAGCAATACTGTTATAAGCATTGGCCAAAAAATTTGCAACAAGTTCAGGCCCAGGAGACACCTTCCCACCATGGCATGGCTCCTGAGGGATAAGGAAAAGCTCTGCCCAAGAGCCCTAGAAACCCTTGCTCTTCACACTCAATAGCAAACAAGGGATGTCCTTGCTGGTTAATGGACTTCAGCCAAAGACAAAAAAGGGAGTTTTAGGGCTAAACCCTGAACCTGGTGCCCAATTAACCCTGTTTTCTATATTTCTATTACTTCAGCCCAGACATTCAATGAGGTAACACTGATATTTCCAGGATCACTACAAATACAACACAAACAACTCTTCTCTCTCATGATCTTATTGGTTTGGTCCCATGCTTTGAGCACACGGCTCATGTTAAGGTCCAAACTCAATCTAAAACCAGCAATCACCCAGGTCTAACATGGGCCTAGGTTCCTTCACTCTGACACTGACTCCCGTTGAGACCTTGGGCTAGTCATCCCCGCTCTGCCTCAGTGCATCTGGGGGTGAAATGGAGAGCACAGTCGGAGCCTAGCTCCCAGGGCCCTCCGGCGGAGGTCTCAGTGCATACCCATAAAGCATTTGAAGCTGAAATGCGATATCATCACTCCCCACATTTATCTATCAGAAAGCACCAGTCACACCCAGTTAACAGAGTCTGCTCAGACCAGGCCCTTCACTGTAATACCGGGGGTGCTGGAGGCCAGGACTGAGCCGTGGGGAAGACCCAAGCGCGGAGCTGAAGGGGAAACACAAGTGAGGATTGTGGTGAAGACGGCAGGAGAGCCCATGGGGAAGCAAGCCTGCACTGCCCCTCCGCCAGATCTAGCCAGTAGCACCAGAATGAGAAGATCTGGGGTGAGCCGGGCAATGCAGAATTGAACTGAAATGCCCTATTTAACCCAGAGTGCAGCCCCAAGGCGGCCCAGAGTCCTGCCCCACAGTCACCCGCCCCGTGCGAGCCCCTGAAGGGGGAGGGTAAAGCTAGTGAGCTCCAGGCCTTTGTTGCTGGAGACTGAGCAGAACAAGCAGATTCTGTCCATCTATTCAGGGAGATCCCAGCAGCTATTTCCCACTCTCAGGATGAGCAGATAGAATGGTTTGTGCATATTTTGTTTTTAATTAAAAACGGTATGTAAATGTATATGCAGATTGGGATCTCAGGCTCCTGGCGAACTGCCAGTGCAGCCCTCGCTGTTGCACAGAGCAGGCACCGCAGATGCCTCCATATTGCAGCCCATCTGGCATGTAAAATCCCTTGCTGGTCAGACTGGCTCCCGTGGGCATCCCCCAGCAGGGAGCCTCACCCCAGGCCCTCGTGGCTTTGGCGAGGCTAAGCAGAACCCCCGACAGGTTCGGGATGGCAAAGGGGGCGTGTGAACTTTCCTCAGCATTAAGAGTTTCCGAGTGGAAACTTCCTTCGCCATAGTCCATCATTTGGTCACCCTGCCTTTGTTACCTGATTCAGGCATGGCCCAGCTGAGCCCCACGTGCCCTGCATTTTGGACAATTCTGGCCCTTTCCAGGGCATCCTGGGGGGAGCCCCCAGAGAATCCTCCATGGCACCTCCCAGCACTGAACCTAGATGCATTGTGCAGAAATAAAAACGAACAGCAGCACCTCTGGGATGGGGGAATGGGGTCTGTATCTCAGCCATGGGGAAAGCACACGCAGTCTCATTGGCAACATTCGCCACATTCATACCCAGGTCTGCTCTGGTACTTACCCTCCAAGACCACCTCCTTGCCAGTCTTCTTCAGTGCCTGCACTGCCTCATCGTGCGTCGCCTCTGAAAGGTCGGCCCCATTGACAGAGAGGATAGCGTCTCCTACGAACAGCGCCTCTGTCTGATCTGCAGCCAGCCCCTTAAAGATCTTGGAAATCAAGATCGGCATTTTATTCTCTCGGCCGCCTGAGAAGAAAAGGAAAAAAGGAAGTGGTTAGATACTATTTATATACAGAAGGAGAAGGTACTACTTAGATAGCATCCTGCTTAAGACAAATCTGAGTGCCGATATATCAAGATTTAGCTCATTTTCCCCAGTAATGCATCAGATTTGCAATCGCTGGTGTCAATTTTGGGTAGAAAAACATTTTCATTACTTTTATCATCATGCAGAGGAGCATGAATCAGAGGAGGTAAACATCGGACCTCGCTTCCACCCAGAGATCCTAGGAACTGTCCTTTTCTTCCTTGAATCTCAGAATATACATTCTGCCACATCGCTCATGGAGGAGAGACGTCCAGATTCTGGCCCCCTTCTTGGAAATACGAGATTCCTCAATTTTGGTTTCAGCCAGTTGCTACATGTCTGATTGATAGGGATGGTTCTTAGTGTTAGCTCTGTGCTAAGCTCCTGCCACATGGAGGAAGCATCTGTTCGTCTCACAGCAGTGATACTGGCCGCTTATTCCACCCCAGTGCAGGCCTGTCTGCAAGTTTCTAGAGGCTCTTCTGACTAGACATCAATAAAGTGAAATGCAAAAGAAAGGAAGCACAGATCTGCTCCCTACACGGCTGTCTCACGTCCGGCTCTCATCAGAGTCTCTTTAGTGGAAATTCCACTGCTACCATGTCTGTGGATGACACCGAAATAAGAGGTTTAACAACTACACAGGTGGCTGGGGTCTAACTGGGAAATGACCAAGAAAGTTTAGAGTACAGATGGCTGCAGGCATCAAAGAGCGACCTGGCTGGAGTGCAAGAGACCGTGCCTTGGACGTAGCTCTCCATCCCCAAGAACCATGGGCCCAATCCTGACTGGGTTCTACTGCAATGTAAGCATTACCTGTAACAACAAACAAACGGATGATAGCACCTCCAGGAGCAGGAAATAACAGACGCACATCATGGCAGGGGGACAGGCCACATGGATGCACCCAGTGCATTAAAGAACCTTTGTTTTTGGCTTGATCAAGTCCTGACATTATAAAATGCATTGCCTGAGCTGAGCTCGTCCACTGTGAACAACAGCCCAGTAGGAGCCAGAGGGGAAGGGAGGTTAAGGCATTAGCCTGATACTTGGGACCCTGGATTCAATTCCTGACTCTGCAGCAGGCTGTGTGACCTTGGTCAAGTCACCTAGTTTCTCTCTGAGCCTCAGCTTCTGTCAAGGCTGATTCCCCACTCTGGGACTCTGAGTGCAGGAGGTGGGGGCCTGCAAGGATTCTAAAAATTAACACTGGCCACTCCAGGCTTCTGTTAAACTCTCAAGGTTACAGCTTCTCTCTGACTTTGGATGGGTAGATGTTGCCACCACCCAAGGGCAAAACCCCTTGAGGACCCAGGAAGGTGCACTTGGGAATTCCTTCCTGTGGGGTACCCTCAAGCCCTTTCACACACACCCACCCTGCCCCTGGGAAGAGCTGAGAAAGAAAAACAAAGGAAATCAGCTGTTGCCACCAGCTAATTAAACGACGTGCACAAACCTATTAGGACACAAAAACCCAATACTCCTCTTAAAAAAGGTAAATTTTGTTTAAAACGAAAAGAAAGAAAATACACCTGGAAAGTCAGGCTATTGCTAGATTTAAAAAAAAAAAAAAACACTTACAAGGATTAATCATCAAGAATAACTTTCTTGAGGTCCAGCTTAAAGGTTACAAGCAAAACAAAAGCATTTGGATTAGCACAGAGGAGTCCACAAGCCATAAAGAAATAAAAGGAGATAAACCTAATCACATCTTCCTAGACATTTCCTGATCTACTTACATATCTGGGATTTCCAATGAGTAGTTTCTAGGTATGATACCGATGATTTTTCATACCTGGCCCAAAGCTTCTTACAGCATAACTGCAGCCCTGTCCGCCTCTCCCCGAGAACAACAACAGACAGACAAAAGGGGAGTCTTGTTTCAATTTCAAAAAGTTCTAGCCTTCCCATCGGCTCTTTTGGCTAGGTGCCCACTCCCTTCCTTTTACCTATGCGTAGCAGTGACTTTTAACCCTTTACAGGTAAAACAAGTAGAGAACAGCTACTAAGAGGGATCTTATAGCTAACTGGCTGGCTGGGTCCATAAAAGGGAGCTACCCCCCTTCATTTATCACAGCTCCCCTCCTGTACAATGGGGCTAACAGTATCTCACAATGAGGTTGGGAGGAGAAATACATTTCAGTTTGTGAGGCACTCTGGAACTGCAATAAGGGAGGCTAATACAGGGTGAGGAGGAAATTGGAAAGGGGTATTTCTGTGTTTGTTTGGTAAAACTTTTAATGCACTCAAATCAACAGGATTAACTCAAAGTCAATGGGAGTTAGGTACCTATCTAACTTTGAGAATGTGGGCCTCAGCTCCTCTGGTGAGAAGTCTGACAACAGTACCTAGCCAGATGGAGTAATAGTCTCCAGCTCTCCACTCGCTCCGAGCTGGGAGAAGAGGAGCTCAGGAAGAGTCACTGTCTTAGGAAGTAGTCTACAGCATGAAAAAGTGTGAGAACCACTGGGATAAACCTAGGTGTGCGCTTCCGGGGAGGCTGCGGAGTTCTACTTGTTTCCTCAGCCACCTAGAGATTCCTGTCAGTGTTCATTTTTTTGGTGGGAAAATGTGACGTTCAGCTATGATATTTATTGCATTTGAATGGAAAAGTGTCACTTTGTAGTGCCTTCCCGCCATGCCCTCTCCACCCTCCGAGGCCCTGATGGTCACCTTCACATCTGCATGACCAGCTGCACCGATTTATGGCTCCCAGTTTGAATTGTTATTACTTTGCTTTTGCACGTGTCATTGCAAAAATGAAGCGTTACCTGAATGGAGTAACGTTTCTCCTAGGAAGGAGATGGATGGGAATTTTTAGACAGAACTTTTTTTTGCTCTAAAATGCCTATTCATCAACACCGAATTGTTTTGCGGACACCATCGGTTTCAACAAAAAGATTTCTCAGGTCCGGGATGGAAGAGAGCCAGTGAAACCTACCCCAGAATAGCCAAAGAGCTTACACTCTAAAATTCAGACAAGATACAGAAAAGGGAGCAGAGAAATGGTGGGACTGGAATAGAGGAAGGGAGAACAAAGGTTATAAAAACAAGGCCATGTTGATGCTCAGGATTTACAAAAATGCAGATCTTGAAGGTTTTAGTGGCTTTTTTATTACGATTATTAACTATCCCTAGCTCTTAAATAGCACTTATATATTTCATCAGTAGATTGAAGGTAAATGGGGAGTCCTGTATCTGGGTAGCGTAAAGGGATCAAAGCACGTTTCTGTGTAACACATGGACTTTGCACGGTATGCCTCCATAAAGAAGCCCCTCCAGCAGCGGGGAAAGCATGAAGAAGGCACAGAAGAATCAATTATATCAGCTAGTCGCTCTAAACAGATGCTGGTTATGCTACCACTCCAACAGCCATATTTTCCAAAGAGCTCATCTCCCATCTGGCAGCCAAATGAACTCTTGAGTATCTGGATCTAGAAGTCCACATTTTTTGCCACTGGTAGCATGGATAGGAACATTCTGGCAAGGACTCAGCCGAGACAGAACAGGGACAGAGCTCTAGATTTCACTGAACCAGACTGAGCTCTGTTAGTTTTGTGACTATATCGAAATAAGTTATGTTTTTGCTTTGCTGTACAGACTTTATAAAACAAGGCCTTGTGGGATGCATGGATAAGAGTCCTCCCTCAAGAGACTGAACTCACAATGTGGGCCCAGTTCCATATTTCTGTAATGAGGAATCTCCTCCTTAGCATCCCCCCGCACCACCAACATTAAAGATCTGTAATCGGAAAAGATCAATATACGGTAACAGCTCTCTTAAGGCTGGAGTCATCTCAACTGCAAAACAGAGAGAGGGATGTGAATTAAGGGCAAAACAGACACAAAAGAATCAAAGTATTATTAGATGTACAGGCCACTTAAATTAAAAAGGTCTCTAAAGAAGGAAATAGGGGAATGGTGCATTTGGGCCAGTTGCTGGCTTTTTTCTGCTTTATTCAGCTCCCAGATGTGCCCGGTCCTTTCCTCTTCCCCATCCCACGTAAGTTCTAGAGGCAAGAACACCAACTCTTTAACATTTGAAAGAGACCGACCTGGCTCCTGCATTGGCTTCAATTCTGTGGAAATGTGACCCCCACCCACCATGTATTAATGGGCCGAAGCCAGCCTGGCAACAGATCCATTTTCCAACATCTCCTCCTGTCAACCCTCTCTGAGTTCACTCAGATTCCCCACAAGGCACATTGTCTCTGTCTTGGATTTTGAAGGTCAAAACTGCCTGTCTACCAGGTGTGGCTTGTGGTGCATCAACTGTTAAAATAAACAACTGCACCCGACAGCTTAAAGAAAATTATACCTCCACAGCCCCATTCATTTTGTGCTCAACCTGTATATTTCTCAGAGCTTCTTCCAGCCACTGTGCTGACTTCCCCTGAGCAGTAAAGTTGCACAAATGAGGTCGTTGGAACTGTGCTGATCATGAGGATAGCAGTGCTTTTACAGTGCAGCCTTCACTGAGATCAATTCAGTAAGTGTGGTGGACTGCGGCTTTTTATTCAGATATATTTTGATGGGGGTGATGGTATTTTGGAACAGAACTCTGTTGCGGGCTGCAGGTTAATGTGCAGGAATGGCAATAAAAGAACAGGAAAACATCCTTTCACATCAGTGACAGGACAATACAAATGCAATGCCAGTGCCTAGCCAGTGGGCAAATGCAAACCACCAGAATTCACAATTAAAAGACACCAAAAGTGACATGAACTGAATTATGTGGGATGTAAGGGGAGAACAATTCACAGCTTTTTTTACACTTTCAAGGAATAATTTATGAAAGGATAACTCCCCCGTCCCCCCTCCAGTTTAACCTTTCTGTTCAATACCACCCAACCCAGCTTAGATGCATTAGACCAGGGGTCTCAAACTCAAATGACAACGAGAGCCACATGAAGACTAGTACATTGGCCTGAGGGCTGCAACACTGACCCCCCACTCCGCTGCCCAGTCCCGCCCCCACTCCACCCCTTCCATGAGGCCCTACCTCTGCCCCACCTCTTCCCACCCCTTCCTGCCCCCATTCCAACCCCTTCCCTGAAATCTCCACCTCAACTCATCCCCCTCCCTGCCCCCAGGGGGTGCAGGAGGGGTGCAGGGTGCGACAGGGGGCTCAGGGCAGGGGGTCCGGGTGCAGGAGGGGTATGGGGTGCAGCAGGGGGCTCAGGGCAGGGGGTTGGGGTGCAGGAGGGGTGCGGGGTACGGCAGGGGGCTCAGCGCAGGGGATTGGGGTGCAGGAGGGGTGCGGGGTGTGGCGGGGGGGGAGGGCTCAGGCCCGGCACACACCGGGGGCAATAGAGGCCAAGGAAGATGTTTGATTATACATGTGAGATCTGTCTAGCCTAAGGTTAAGTAGACACAGTGCAAGTGATGGGCAATTTCAGGTACACAAGCTGATCTCACATGTATAATCAAACATATTCCTTGGCCTCTATTGCATTCTAGATTTACAGCATGCACATGTAAACCTGCCAGCATACAACTCACATAAAAAAGCACTTTAAAGAAACCAGGACTCCAATCCTGCACTTGCTTGACTTTATGCACTGTGAGTAGCCCACTTGGCTTCCATGGTATGGCTCACCACAGGGCTACTGAGTATGTATGTAAGTCTTTGCAGGAGCAGTGCCAAGTTATATTTGTATGTAAAGGTAACACTTTAACGGGGAGCTGATTCAGCCTGTGTAACTGATATAACAGACCTAAAAATACACTGCAACTTTCAACCAGTGCATATGACAGGGCTCCGCAACATCATGCCATTTCCAGTTTAGAAATTAAGGAGCAGAACCTGCCAAGGTGTCACTCTTGCCACTCCTCATGCTAAGGCCTGACCCTGAAAACAGACACGTGAGCGACTTTGCTCCGCTCCTCCGGGCAAGTGCAGCACGGGGGCCTCCGATGGATTCGCTTGTCCATTTCCAACTTCCCCAGCAGCCGCAAGCGGCCGTGACAGGTTCCTTCCCCGCAGCCCTGCCGGAGCCGTGCTTCGGGGGAGCAGGAGATGGGGGGCTGGGGCGGTGACCACCCCCAGGGCACCCTCCCCAGCCGCTTTAGCAGACACGGAGTGGGCACCCGGCCGCGCGCAGAAGTTGGTCAGGCACCAGCCAACTCCCCGAGGCGCCGCAGGGCACGGGCCGCCTCCAGCTGCGCCTCGGCGCTACAAGGTGCCCACCGGGGAGAGCCCGGCAGTGCCGGCGCTGGGCGGTGGCGGGGCAGGACCCTCGAGCCCAGCGGCAGGTTCAGCCCACGGGGAACGGACCCTCGCCCTCTGCCGCGCCCCTCACCTTTGATGCTGATCCCGAGCCCCCCCACGTCCTGCTTCACGATCCGCACCGTGCGCTTCACGTTGGTGAGCGACTCGGGCACCTGGGCGCACGGCTCCCCGCCGTTCAGCTGCGCCGGGGCGGGCGGCGGCTCCTCGGCCCCCGCGCCCTTGCCGGGGCTCACGGTCAGGAAGTCCTCGGCCAGCGTGACCAGGACCCGCAGCCACTGCTCGCCCGGGGCTCGCAGCTCCAGCAGCCCGCTCTTCGGGGCTCTCCTGCCGGCCGCCATCTTCAGCGCATTCCTGGGATAGCTGCTGCTGCGCCGCCTCCCGCCTGCCAGGGGCCGGGGCGCACGGCGCGGAGCGGGGGCACCGGGCACCGAGCCACCCCTAGGGCGCCGCCCCCGGGAGGCAGGGCGGGCTGCCGGGCACAGGGGCAGCGAGCCGCCGCCCCGCCCAGGGAGCCGCCTCCCGACACGCCTCTCCTCTCCCTGGGGCGCACGGGGCTGCGGCGGACACATGGGCACCGCCCAGGCCGTCCCCTCGGAGCCGCGTCTCAGCGCTCGCGGCCATCGGGGCAGGGCCCTGCCCAGGAGCCGGGCGCAGGGATGGGGTGGGGGCCCCTGCGGAGCCGGGCCGGGACCTCGGCTGCGGGCCAGGAGCTGCCCTCGGTTCGTGGCAGAAGGGGCAGAGCTCCTCGCCGGGCCAGCGCCTGCCGGTCCCCAGGCTGGGGCGTCCTGCAGACTTTGGGGATCGCTTCCCTGGCTAGGAACAGCGGGGTTCATGCCTGACCCAAGGCAAGAGGCCCAGCTATTTCCCTTTCCCCAGCACAGCAGATACACTCTTCCCCCTCCCCATGTTCCCGTCCCATCGGCATGTGTTCACTAGGGCTAGATGAAGAAATACCCAGCCCAGCTTGTCCAAATGATGCAAATCAGTTAAGCAGACAAAGAGTTGCCAGCTCTTCAGGGAGACGGGTGGTCAGAGTAGGGGACTGGGAATTAGACCTCATGCCTTATGCCAGGTCTGCGTCTAACTCCCAGTCCAACCTTCGGCCAGTCATTTCAACACAGATTCTTAAAAGTATGTAGGAAACACTATCCGCTTCCACTGATTTCAGTGGACCTGAGGTGCTGTTGTCATAACTGGGCCAGCAAATTTACCTTAATTGTAAACTCAAATGTCAAAAGGAAGTGAAAGTAGATGGCAAGTATCAGAGGGGTAGCCCTGTTAGTCTGAATCCACAAAAACAATGAGGAGTCCAGTGGCACCTTAAAGACTAACAGATTTATTTGTGCATAAGCTTTCGTGGGTAAAAAACCCACTTCTTCAGATGCATCGAAGAATTGGGGATTTTACCCACAAAATCTTATGCCCAAATAAATCTGTTAGTCTTTAAGGTGCCACTGGACTCCTTGTTGTTTTTGTGAAGTGGATGGAGTGTCACAGTAACCTACTGCAATAAATGTTAATGGGAAAAGTTGCAAAAGGAAGACAAAAAAACTCACCCGAAGACCATCTAATATAGTTCAAGGACTATGTTAAACTCATGCCTAGTAAATAAGTCAGTGTAAGACCAAAATTGGTGTGTCAGAAGTTAGGCCTGTTGGAGAACAAAATAATAAAAGAATGGCCTATCCACCCAGTGCTCCCTTGGGGGGCTTTTAAAAATGGAGACTTTGGGAAAACAATACAAACAGATGGAGGCTGCCGCAACGCTTGCAGATTGAGAGATGAGAGAAAGGCAAAAAGTGAGCTTCTCCACCGTGGCTGCCACCCCCCACGGTCATCTGGGACCTGGAACTTTTTCGTCCTAATCCTGAAGGATGTCCTGACCAGACCGGGCCATGGAGAGGAACCCAGTTCCAGATGACACCACCACCTCCAGCGGAATCCCAGCTAACATCTGAAATGGGAGACTTTGTCTCTCTTCCCCTCCCCCCCCCCATTTGTCCTTTTCCTTTCCCACCTTATTTCTTCTCTTTCCTGTCCCTGTCCTTTTTCCTTCTGTCTAATAAGTGTCTGGCTTCGTAAGCCGAGACTGCAATATTCCTGTAAGCCTGTGACGAAAAAAAGGCAGCTAAAAGCAATGATCTAAACAGCCCGATGCTGGTGCAAGTTTGCCAGGCCTTGGAGTAGCTATAAGATTGTGTGCTGGGCCTCTGTTTCTCCAGCAGCAAGGTTGCAAGTGAAAGTCAACACCAGAGACAGGAAGCTGTATTTTCTATCTTGTCTGTTCTTTTCTCATCCCTTTTGTCCCTTGTCTGTTATGAAACGGGATCGGACTTTAACAACAGCTGCAGCCCATCTTAACTAAGTTCTTCTCTGTTCCCCCAAAAGGACATTTATTGCCATCTTTAACACCATCTAAAAAACTCTTGACACAAGGAGGATTTCCCTTCTAAAAATTCTCCCCAGCTAAAAAAGCAAAAACAAACAAAAAAAATGGTTAAAATAAAAGCCTTACTTTATATTTCAAATACTTTACCTGGCTTTCTTTTTTCTGTATCTTTAATAAAAGATTTAAAAAGTGTTTACTGGTGTGTCTGCCAGGGTAGGAAGCGGTCTAAGGTCTGTGAATATCAAACCCCAAACCTTGTCTGAAACTGTTCAATGTTGGACAGTAACTGGGTATATTAACACCTTTGGCCCATATATTCCATCTAAATTAATACAACATTGCATAAATACCTTTGAGGACCTGGGCCTTCCCCTCTTTGTGCAGTAGTTTCTACATCTGTAAAATTAAGTTGATAATCACCCTACCTCACTGGGATGTTAAGGTTAATTCATTCATGTGCGTTCAGTGCTTTGAGATCCTTGGACAGGAAACCCTAGGGACCAACCTTGTATTTAGAAAAATGCCATGTCCAGGTGTTGGTCTGGCCACTTCCCCATGCCTGTCCCCAAGGAGTCTGTGCATGCGGGGCTGCTCCAAAGCATGGAGAGAGGAGAGAACCAGATGTGGAGAAGCAAAGCTTTTCCTCTTCTTTGGATGCAAATAATCCTTGGCTCCACAGGAGAATCTGCAGGAATCATAAGCCATGCCTGAACACAAACAGGAATATCTGTAGGATCCTACTGCTGCAAACTATCCTCTCTGCCTCCTCAGCAGATCCATTTAACTGGAAAGCAAAGCAGAATAAACCTGGGAAGAAGGGAGCCCAGGGTTTGACTGTATTTGGCTTTTGTGTCTTCCATAAAACTGTGCGAGAACTGGAGAAATCTCTGGACAAGAATCCCACAAAGACTGTATAAATCCATTTAAAGCCAACCACCTTTGCAAAAGGTGCAGTGAACGTGTAGGGGGGAAATGATTCTGAGAGAGCCAAAGCGATAGCCTCAAGTGGTCCTGCCAAACAGCCATAGTTCCCTGTCATAGTGCTGCTCACCAGGCGTTCTCTGAACCTTGCCGCAGTGAGCAATGGTGGTGCAAGTGTACTTTTAACAAAGAGCAGTAGCAGGTGTGACTTCTGGATGGGACAGACAGTAACTGATTTCCCTTCCTGTGCCGCCAGGTATAAAACCACTCCCAGTCAGGGCTCGGGGTGTATGGATGAATAAAATACCAGAAGGGAGAGGGATCACCTGGTAAGACAGAATTCTATACCATGGGCCATGTTTTCAAACAGTTCAGCTCTCGTTTAGGCACCAAAGTGACCAGATTTTTATTTTAAAGGGTGCAGTTTGGGTGCTGAGCTCTTTTGAAAATCTGGCTGTTATGTAGGTGCCCAAATAGGAATACCCCCTCACCCCACCCAGTAAGGCAGGGATGCCCCCCTATAGGACTTTTCCCAAGTGCATTGTTGCATGTAGTGTCTAGATCAGCAGTTCTCAAACTGTGGGTCAGGACCCCAAAGTGGGTCGGGACCCTGTTTTAATGGCATCACCGGGGCTGACGTTAGACTTGCTGGGGCCTGGGGCCAAAGCCCAAGCCCTGGGTGGTGGGGCTCAGGCTACAGCTTCAGCCTTGGGCAGCAGGGCTTAGGTTACAGGCCCCCTGCCCGGGCCTGAAGCCCTTGAGCACCAGCTTTGGTCCCCCTGACAGTGGCGGGGCTCGGGCAGGCTCAGGCTTCAGACCCCGATCCTGCGGTCATGTAGTAATTTTTGTTGTCGGAAGGGGGTTGTACTGCAATGAAGTTTGAGAACCCCTGCTCTAGATTTACTCTATTTCAACCACAAGTTATGGGATCAGTGCAGGAATGACTGGGTGAAATTCATTGGCCACTGTTCTGCAGGGCGTAGCCTAGATAATCACAGTGGTCCCTTCCAGGCTTAAAATTGATGACTTTATAAATGAGGTTGTATGAGAACAAAAGACAAGTTTAGAAATGTGAGTATAAATTCATGAAGTCCCGTTAGTCTGTTATCATTTGTCATTAAAAAAAAAAAAAAAAGCTGTGAAGTGTGCCAGCACAGAATGACCACTTTGCTTCACCCTAGAGGTGGCTGCATTTCAGTGACCAGTTTTAAATCTGAACATTAAAATGTAAGCAAAGAAGCCCATCTTTAATTAAATGTTATAGGCCCTGATCCTGCAATGGGAGTCCCTGGTGAATTGAAATCCGTGAGTAGGTTTACTCTGCATTGTAAACCCAGGTCCGTGGGACCCACCTATGTGAATGTAGTGGTCCCTCACTCTCAAGCGGGGAGAGAGGCCACTCTGTCTCACTGTGTCAGACAGCAGCACTCGGGCTCGGGTCTTTCCGGCTAAGGCAGCCAGCAAACAGAGCTCCAGCCAACTGGGCAGGGCAGAGCAGGGAGCAGTTTAGGGAGCTCAGGCACTCAGGTAGGGTGGAGCACCAAACAGTCTGTCGTTCTTGCTCTGGCAGGTGGCAGACAAACACAGGCCTCTTGGCCTAAGGTGGGGAGGCTGCCACCCCTAGGTTAGATTGGCAGCAGCGGGTAGGGGGACCCGGGCCCACCTTACTCCACTGAGTCCCAGCCCAACATCCTAACAGTGGTGGGGGGTGGAGGGATCAGCGGGAATCCAGCTGCAACACACTGACTTGGGTTCTGATAGCAAAACTGAACCAAAGTCTGGTTTCCCTGGGCTACTTTCTACCAGTGTCCCGGCAAGGAGTTCTGTAATCCATGGGTCCTCTGTCTCCTCAGGATACATGGTGGACGGCAGTCCTGGCAACTCCTCTCCAGGGTCAGTCTCCTTTGGGGGCAGGGCATTGCATGGTGCAGGTTCAGCTCCAGAGTTCTGCAGCGGGCTGGAGACATCCATCTCCTTCCCTGGCTCCCGCTCAACTGAGCTGCAGGGCCCTTCCTTTCTACTTCCTGTCCCACCCCGGTACCTCTGGCGAGGGGGACGGGGTGGGTTTGGCTCCACCCACCAGGGGTAGCGTAGTCATTCCTCACTCTCAAGTCCGGAGGGAGGCCACCCCATCTCACTACA